TCTCTCTCATTCACATCCTCTGAAATGTGGTGCTGTCAGTCCTTTAAATGACATTCTGTCTGGTTAGCTCTATAATTTACCATTTTTTTCAAATGAAAATGTAAAATTTCAGTCCAAATCATGCCATAAAATCTTATCTGTCTAGCAGATCTTTTCAATGCAGAAAATAATTGTGATATTAGGTCTAACAATTTTTGAGAATAAGAGAAGGAATGACATTGTTGTCAGAATTATGTATGGTATATGAATTCTTATTGACAACATTCTTGAAAGAACATGATGTTTTCTTAAGATTCTTATAACTACCTGTTATTTCATAACTGCCTGCTGCTTTAATAATTCAGGAAGGTATATGCTACCTTTGCATCTCTTTGATAGATCAGAGAAACTTGAAAATTAATTAAAATTCAATATGCCTCAGAATCAAAACAAATGTCATTATTCTAAACACTGAAAATGTATTAGAATATTTTATATTTCCTTTATATACCATTTGTTCTGAAAATGTTCTTTTGTATTACTCTAAAAGGATAAAATTATTTTATAGCTAAGATATTGAATAATTGGGTTCAAGTGCTTGTCTGGCAGAGAGCAAGCACAGGTGCACAGACTTAGTATAAACTCTGGGCTCTAAAGCTGTTTAAGGATTTTAGACACTGGTTATTATATGCCAGCTGCAGGTGCAGCCTCCTGCAACAGGGATAGGAATCGAAAGGCCAGACAGAAACACGTGCACATACTCCCATCTTCTCTGACTTGCAGAAACCCACCTGCAGACAAAGAGCTCCAGTAACCAATACCCCCAGCTAGAATATACTCCCAAAAAATGAGAGTTTCAACATCTCCCATCACCCTTTACATTGAGGAAGGCCCCCAGCTAGGTCTCAAAGAGACCCTCCAAACAAAAAATCCCCTGTAGCAAGCCAGCTGTTAGCTAAGGCATTTGCAAATCCTTCACTAAGGACTTCCCCTGGCCATGTGCTTAGGATTGGTATACCTATGGCAGTTTCACTTCTTTGTTGTTTATATGTCTTAGTCAGACCCAGAGATTATAAAGAATAAGCTCACTGAGAGACTTGGCAGCCTACCATAAAAATGCTGAATGTGTCCATCTCAGCCCTGTAGTTTGAGGCTCAAGGCAGAGAGTGAGACACCAGCGCTTGTCTTGCTTCTGTAGCAGAATTTTAGGCACACATGAGACAGCAGACAACTGTGGACTCAGAGTCCTAAAGAAAAGCTGGATTTCTTGCAATTTGTTTTACTAAGAATTTGTTGAGTTCAAAACTGTAAAGTAGAACTCTCATGACTATTTGTTTAGCAGGCCTTACCCTACACTCTTTCTTCAATGTAAGACTTGCATGCCTGTTTGCTCCTACTCTGTACAGCAGGATTAATATGACACATTGTGTGGTATTCAGCAACTAGCATTTAAAGCATTTAGCCAGAACATTCAGTTATAAATAGATTTGGGAAATCATGCATCTTAGACTGGATTAAAAATATATGGACAAAAACTAATGATGCCTGACCCGTACAAGAAACCAGCATGAGTCTTAATGTTCACTTTGCACTCTCTATGCCATGGAATAGCCAGCACAAGGTAGTAACAGCCAGGAAAACCCTGAATTGAGGGAATACCAAAGCAGCTTGTGTGATCTCTAACCCTGTTAAAACTCTGCTGGTGCTCCTGCTGCTAATGCACCCACAAAAAAGATGTTGCTTTCACATCATCTGTTACTGATGGCACTGCACATTTTCTAGATCTTTGCATCTTAGTTGAAAAGAAAGAAATCCAAATTCAGGTGCAGAAATAACTTGTACAATATAGGTGCTGGGTTTTGGGGGTTTTTTTGTTTTTTTTTTGCACTGAGTTGCAGGAACAAGTCTAAACTTTTCTAATGGTACAGGTTTTCTACTGACATCTTATGCTTTAGTCTATCCTCGGAATAAGGGCGTTATTTACAAAGAAAGAATGAATTATTGAACTGAGGTATGAAGTTGAAGCTGAAAATAGGTGATCATGGTGACAGAGTTGCAATAGCTCACAAAGTTATCAGCTACTTGCTCACATCTAACCTGTTACCAATGTGACAAAATGAATTGGCTCAGGTGTCCTCTTTTTCTAAACCCTAACCTTTCAGTCACTAGATAGTCACACATTCTTTCCCCTTCTTTGTTTTCCCACCACCTTCTGTACCTCCTAAGTTTAGTAAGCACCGCCTTCAATTTAGCTTTGTCAAATTTGCTTCTTTCATTTCTTCCTCCTATCAGGGCAAAATGTCCCAAGAAAAGGGAAGCAAAATAAGAGGGGTGTTTTGAGAAGACAGGATGTGTTGTAAATGTGAAATTTTCTTTGGCTTCCCTTCCCTTCAAATATTTTTTTTTTAACCTGTAAAAGGATTTTTCAAGTTTCTCCTGTTAACACATTTTCTCTCTCTCTCTTGTTCTCAGAGAAATTCTGTATTAACTACATCCGCCCCTTGCAGGGGAACTTCTTTCCCCTCTTTGCATCCTCTCATGGCAGGCATTCCTCTTTTACTTGTTTTGCAATTTCTTCCCTGCTTAAAGCCAACCACATCCCCACACTACCACAAAACAAGCATTATGTCCCACTTGCCTCCAACTCTCAAGTCATTTTTTATCACCTTTAAAATTAACTGAAGGTGTTACTATGCTAAATGTGGTTTATTATGATATGGTTTACCCTCTTCTCCATCTCAGTGCTTCTCTAATGCAGCTGAAAAGCATGGTTGATATTTCTGGTGACCTGCATACAGGAATGATGGTGTAAAATGCTGACTGCAGCCTTGTGATCAGAGAAATGACTTGGTACCTCTGCTGCACAAGCACCCGGGGGCAAAGGACTACGAGTGGGAGTGAGTGAATGGAAGTAGGTGGATGCTGGCTGGCCCTACTAGACCCCTCCTTCAACACATGCAAGGAGAAACTGTGTTTGACAGACTAACCAACTGAAGATTATCGATGCTCCAATGTCTGTCCCTTCTGAGGAAAATAAACATTTCGTGAGATAAAGAAAGGTTAATACAGGAAGGAGGTTCTTTCTACTAGGAACTGCCTCTTCTCCGGGGCAGGCAAACAGACCAATACTGTGAGAGTGAGTAGGAGGTGGCTCAATGAGTCATGGGAATCTAAATCTTGGGATACATGCTGAGACCTGTGCTACTTGTCATGACCAGAAAGGTACCAGTGTGATGGCCAGGCAGGACAGCACAGTATATGGGATCATGCTGTTCCAGGTTAGTCTGCCAGAGGCTGACTAACCCTCCAGTTGCTCACCCAATGGGCAGAACACAGTGAAAACAAAGCCAAAGAAAAGTTCAAATGATTCAGGTAAATTTATGGGTACTTATCCAAGTTCACTGTATAGTCCAAATTTTTGGAAGTTCACTCCTTATGAAATAGTTTGGGCATGGAAAAGTAGCAGAAAGACATATCACTAGCTTATATACATACAAAAAGGAAAACCAACTAATTTTAAAAACTGACATGACAGAAGGATCACAATTTATATCCTTCATTTGCAGAATCCCAACCTGGATTTATTATGAGCAAGACTTAAAATTTGAATGCAGAATTGCAACATTCACCTTTTTAATCTATGGGAGGTGAGGTGGGGATGGTGAATAATCAAAGCCAAATCCAGAACATATTTATTCTGATTTATCTCCACATGTAGGTAATTGGTTTTGTATTTTACCCACAGCAAAGCAGATAACCCACATTACTTTACTTTAAAATACATATAAAGCATATTAGGCTTAACTCACCTCTTCCATATGACTGTAACCCCATTAATGTCAGAGAAGCCACTCTCATTGAGATAGTACTAAAGGAAGGAGAATCAGTTTTGACTTTTTTTTTAGTGCAAAAACAGTAGCTGATTTGGTGGCTCCTCTTTTACTTGGTATACACAGACACTGCAGTGATCACACAGCTCAGGTAGACAGGATTTGGGGATTCTGCAGCCACATAATTTGAGTCCTACAGACAGCATGTATGTTGGCATAAAGTCCAACCAAGGCAAAATTAATTCAGCATTATTCAGCCCCTCAGGAAGGACTCGCAGTTGTCAGTGAATAGGTGGCCACATGTAAGAGCACACCAGCTAGCTAACTTAAAACTACTTAAGTAAGGTGCAGTGATTAGTGTCTTTGGTTCAGACCCTCATTTATGTGATCTATGAAAAGTAATGGACTTGAAACTTCAGAGCTGTCAAAGCAGCACTTTATTAAACTCTACAGTTTGCAAAGAAATTGTATGCAAAACACATAAGCCACAAGCCTATTTAGCCTATTGGCCAAATTATGACATTCTTCTTCATGTCATATATCCCAAGGCAGCACAATTTTAACTAAAACACATGTTTTCAGTTTTTCATGTAATCACTGAGAAATGAACAGAACCAGCATTATAACCTATTTCTCAGAGTTTCCCACTTGGCAAAAACTTTGATCAAGTACATCAAAGTGAAATGGGGTGGAGCATTAGCTCTGTTCACAGCTCTCTAACCACATCTCATGAAATAATGTAAGAAGACAAACGAAGATGTATATTGCAGGTTTATGGTCACAAGAACAACAGTATCTCATGGAAGTCCCTGAGTGTTCTGCATGGTTGAAATGGGATTTCTTGTTACAATTTTTGTCATTAATATATGTTCAAGGAAAAATGCAGTTGCAAGAAAATACATGCTTGAGACTGCCAAATACTTACTGGTGGCTAATTGCTGGAGAACTTATTCAGGAAAAATCCTCTTAAAATAGAAAACAGTATTTTTAAGCTACTGAGGGCATTAGAATATATGATTATTTGCTGAATCAGAAACAAATGGGAAAAAAAGTTAAAATGCCAAGGGATTGCTCTTCTGTGCACCTAAGTTTTTATTAAAATCCAATGAAATTTATTTGGTATTTCATGTAAATCTTTTGCTGATTCTTCTTGCCTTCCTCCCCCCGCCACCTCCCCCAATTTTAAGTCTTTCTTTCAGATTCACACTCGTTCATACAAACCTAAAGTGACAGCACAAATCCTCGATTACTGAATAATGATCTTGCCTTAATAAAAAATAACCAACACAAATTCCCCCAAAAGCCTTTTTTTGTTTCTTCTGCTTAACTAAATTACTTAAAAATCATAATTTATTAATGAACTGCTCAGCATTTAAGGTTTCACTAAAACTGGAAAACATAGGAACTGAAAAAAGTCCATCAAATTTCAAAACAGCTCAGTACATAAGTAGAAGCATTCCTTGGCAATAGAAAAAGGAAAGCTTAGATAAATCAGAACAATATATAATATAGTCTCTTAAATGCATTTTTCTTTGTCTGATTTTAAGAGACAAAGAGTCTCTTTATATATGTATAAACCTCATTATATGTCTTTATGAAGCTGATAATACTTGAGCTACCTGAAAGCACACCTGAAAGCATTAGAGGACAAATATAAAAAACACGCTAATGAAAATTTATCTTCTTATTTCTCTGTAAGAGAGCTGCCATATAATAAATTTATCAGAAAAAAGTTTGCAATCCACTCGGAGTTTTACATTTTTCTTTGTATATGATACAAAGAATCATTCAAAGCAAACCTTGTAAGCATGTACTGCAAGCTTTCTTCATTTGTGTTGCACAAATGATCCCACCTGCCACCAGGATTTGATTTTATAGCACTTATTGCAATAAAACTAGGTGTTGTTTGCATACATAGTATATGAAAACATCCAGAAAAACGAAGTACCTGTAGGAAAGGGACTTCCCTTGCTGCCTACCCTCAAATTACAAACTCTTACACAGTAAAATGAGTCCTCCTAGAGTAAGTAATGCTCAGTTGTATTGGAAATACATGACTCCTTTGTAAGTATAGCCTAGGCTAACTTAGAGATAACTACTTTTTCTGTCATCAAAATGCTAAGAACTGCAAACATGGCATTGAAACCATTCCCGTGTCCATACTTATCAAGAAACATTTTCTTCATTCAAATCAGCTCGATGATTTTTGTTTTTTGTTTTGTCCTTGAGGTGAGGAATCAGGCTGCAAATCAGTGCTAAACAATAGGGCTTCTGAAGTGAGCCTATTTCTCAGTACCTTAGTCAAAGCTGCAATTCTCTGAGCCAGTTCAGCCTCCACTTCAGGTAAGGTTTCAGCTTTCCTCATGGTCTGCTGCAGCTTCTGCTCAGCCAGCTCCAGACGCTCTTGCAGCTGCCTGTTTTTGTCTTCCAACTGAAAGCCAAAGATAGATAAACAAGTATAAAAAAATAAAAATCAATCTTAAAAGATTTTCCTATCAGTGAAATGATAGCAAAAGTCATTAATGGGCAAGATACCCCTTAGTATGGGAGAGGTATTAACCCCAGCATGGAACAATGTAGGCTGCCAGTCTTACTACTGATTTTGATGCCTTGAGGAGCTGGAACAGAGGCTACACACAGAGTTAAGGGGAATAAAATGGGTATTTATTGAGAGGCCTCCAAAAGCCACACCCCAGCAGTGTGAGTGCTACAGCTGTGACCCCTGCCTGGATGCTCCAAGGTGGAAGCAAAGGAGGGGCTAGTCACAAAATCTCACATTTTTATAGGTTTTGGTTCATTTGCATGGACCCACCCTCCACGTTTCCACAATGTTTGTGCTTAGGGTCTGAAGTCTGGCGAAACTGTCCTTGAGTTCTTAACTGGAATAGGAATGTTTTGTCTTCATCACCCTAGCACATCAGAAAAGCACATCCAAGGAGAATAGGAAAACTTAAAACTAAAGGCATCAATTTGAGGCTCAAGGATTTAATGAAGGTGAATAAAAGGACTTATAAAATAGCACTAATTAAGATGAAAAAGCTCCACTGATAGATGTGGTATTTATCTGAGCAAAATGATAGTACTGGTGCCAGTAAAATGAGAATTTTCTAAATGGAAATAGAGTCCATCTTTCAGAAAAATTTACATATGAGCTAAAATGGGAACGAAGTACAATTCTGAAAGGAAAGAATTCCCTGAATAAATTGTCAAACATAATTTTCTGAATGAATGGCAGTCATATATTATAAAAATTTAAAACTGACATTTCATTAATTACAATTAAATCTCATTTTACAGAGGTGAAATTGAGTAAGCTGTCATAACTACTAGAGGGAAATAGAAGGACTTTTTATAACTGCAGCATTTTCTAGCCTACTGAGATGCACCACACAATTAAGATTTTTTTAATGGTTGCTGCTTTCTTCTTCAATCCAGGTAATACAAAGACAAAATGAAAAAGGAGTGTGACTGTGGATTCTTTTTTAATCAATCAAAAAGCATGAAAAGCTAGGCTTTTCTCATCTCAATGTTGCAAACCAACTTTAAGTCTGACCATATATACTCTAAACCTAGTTGTTTTAATTCCTGCTTTGAGTAGGCAGAACTGCAGCAAAGCATGACTTACATTGGCAACAATAAGAACTCAGATACAAGTACCTTACTTTTTCCATCGTTGGGTGGTTTTCCCCTGACAATTGAAGATACCTCTTAAAATATTCTAAGGAAGCTGGCAAAAGCTGGAGAGTTTGAGTTCTGATGGTTTAATTTCGCTGAAGAAGTAGTCAAATACATACATACACACAGATACAGGGGGATGTGTACATGTGTGTGCAAATATATCTGCATACAATTACAGAAGCAGAGATTTTCACATCACACCAGCTAATTTCCCATAGAGCTCTTTAAATTGTTTAAAGACATACTAGGAAAAAAAGAAGTCTGATACTTAGGCTGGGTTTGAATGATTCAGTATAAATTATATTCACTTCATGTTTGCCTTCAGTTTATGTCATATCCTTTAAATTACAAACCAATGTTTTATGTTCAGTTTACATTCCAGATTTGGAATCACCATGGAAACAAAGTACCATGAGAGAAAGCTGCACAGTCATGTTATATGTTTTCTTAAAACATATTCACAGTTAATTTAGCTTTTTAAAATTTTATTTGCACTCTACTCATCTGTAAAATCATTTGACTATACTGTATGCAAATTTTGATCTTTCCTGCAGAAAGGAATTATAGCTCAAGGAATAGCTCAATCTACTTTTTAGTAAATAAAATTCCAAAGTTATTACATAAGTAGCAAAGATATTCCACTACTTAGGGAATGAGACTGTATGCACTTATGCAAGACTATCAGAAAACACAGTTACTTTCCAACATTTAATGTACACATTAAATTATAGTTCACAGCTATAGTAGCTGATACAAAATTTAGAGATCCTGAACAATTTAGGAGTTTTTTAGATTAACTGATCTGTTGATTAAAACTGAAGAGATTAACCTAATGAAAACCTCTTATAATAAATTGACATTAATTTTCATTGTGCATGAAGAAAACAACTGACTAATGCAGGTACAGCACCTGACGCAGGATGGCTTCCTTGTTTGCCAGTTCATTTTCTAGCTTATCATTCATGTCGTGTATGGAGGTGGATTCTCTCTGAGCACTGAGGTAGCGCTTCTCCAGCGTGGTTATTCTTTCTTCCATATCTTCCTTTTGTGCCATTGCCTAATGTGACAGAAAATACCCCATCAGGAACAGTGCAATTAAAATAATACATAATTTTATACCAGTTTAATGTTCATGCTAATAATAGACAGAAGTGTAAGGTATGCTCTGCAGTAAATCTTCAGTTTTAAAGAGAGTTCTTTGGGATTTCTTGTAGCTGTGATACAGAATCACAGGATCAGTTAGGTTGGAAAAGACCTTTGAGATCATCAGGCCCAACCTATGACACAACTCCACCTTGTCAATTAAGCCATGGCACTGACAGTATACCCAGTCTTTTCTTAAAAGCCAATGTAATAGAAAGATAACTAATGCATAACAAAATAGATTCTAGAAGCCTACCATGGATACATATTGAGAACATCTGCCTAAGAGATGATATACTGAGAAACACCACAAATTTAAGAGGATGAAAGAGATAAAAAATTAAATTTGACTTATTGAGAAGAAGGAATAAATTTCTAGTGCTCTTTCTTAATTTAAATTTTCTCTCTCCTATGTTTAAGGGCTTTCTTTCATCAGTGCTCAACTTTTGCTGCTCATATACATTGGCCTCTATCAGTTTGTAGGGAATATCACAGGAACAACAATCAAGACATATGAGGTGAGTGTGGTGAATTCCTTACCTCTCTAATGTCTCTCTGATATTTACTGTTCATTTCCTCTGTTTTAATGAGCTCCTTTCTCGTAGTCTCTGCTTCCTGCTCTACCTCTCCCACCCGAGAAGACAGTGCAGCCAAACGCTCCTTCATCTGTGCCATTTCATAGTTTTGCTTTTCCAATAGCTCCTGAAGTTCAACGACTTGGCTGGCTTCATCATTTGAGTCTATTGAGCCATTTGATAGGCGCTGTTAATGGAGAAGTGACATTGATTAATTAACTTTCAAGATGGGCTCTAGCTAAAGAATTTCTAAAGCAAAGATTATTTTAAAAATTACCAAAGTAACTAGGAAGAAAAACATATTTTCATGGTAGATAAGATAGGTATAGTTATGAAAAAATAGCAGAAGATTAATTCATATCAATGGACTCCAGGATGTAGCATCACAGGTGTAAATACTTGCATTAAGAGCAGAATACTACACATAAAAAGATTTTATTTGGCATTGTGACTATTTGAGTACAGATTACAGTACTTCTAAAAATCACCAAATTGATTTCATTCATCTTAACTAAACTTACATAGCATTTTAATTGAAATAAAGTTAATGTCATTTGCAAAATATATCATGCTGCAGACAGGAAACAACATTAATAAATCACAAACTCAGTGTAACCAGAAATTGCTTTCAGTATAGACAACATACTGGTTAAATTTACATTAGGAACAAATTCTACTGAAGTAATTTATGTGCGGCCAAAAGCCTTGGTATGAATATAATAAGGAAAAAAAAAAAAAAAATCAAGATTCTGTGACACATGCTGCATTTGGGACACGATCTTAGCAATATGATTTATATTGCAAATAAATGATTTCAGGATAGAAGTGCATTCACCAGCAGGACTTGCTGGTATTGTCTCATTACAACAGATATCCACATTAAGGTATTGTCTCATTACAACAGATATCCACATTAACCTTTTCCAGCATAGGCTAAGTCTATGGTTTTATACAAATTTAATTCTCTCATGTCAAAAAAACAGGCATAAAGAACAAACACAATCAGAAATATTTAATTTGACCTGCAATATGAAGAAATAAAACCAAAGTGACTAGCCTGTCATTAACTTTCTTGATTGTGTACAATTTTATTGGCAAAATTTATATTATGAAGCACAGGAGCAAAGCATTTTGTAACTACAAATTGTAACTACAATTTTAAACACTATACAGAAATATTGGTCCTAAAAGGGCTTATTGTCCTTCAGGTGATAATGTGTATAGCAATGTATATGTGAAAAATCCCTAGCAGGGTCTGAGAGAGCTTTCATTAGCATTTCGCATTATTAATATCAATATATATTTATACAGAAATCTTCTAGCACATTCTAAGAACATTATTTAATGGCTTTAACAGCATTCTTTTCTCAATCAGCCATAACATGAACCCAGATCAAGATCACCTGCCCCACTGTTCATCCCTGAATAAAAGTACTTTAAAAATTGACTACATCAATAACTCAGTTCCAACGTTGTATTCTTCATACTACCTAATTGTATTTTAGATATTTTACGTTAGCTGCTGAACCATTGTTGATCTAGTTTCAGGACACCATGGTAAGATGAGCATAGTAAATTAAAAACTTATACTTAGCTTGATATTTTGGAAGTGTTCACTTAGTCTGCTTGAATCAAAATACTATTAATATGCCACCATCACAAAATAAATAGTACTCAAATACTCAAACAGGATAAAACAGTCCAACTCTCACACTTAGAAAATTTAAGATGAAGTTTGTATCTATGACAATTATAATTTGTTTTACAGTTGTAATCTTATACAGCAATTTTAGCAGTTTTCACATATTAGCAAATTATCTTGCATGGAATTTGCCCTACAACTCTATGAAGAGTAGTCCAGGAATGCTGCAAGGTTATAATAAGCAAAATACCAAATGTCAAATGCAGTAAATGGCATGTGTTCATGTATCTTATGTGACATAAACCCTGGTGATTATGAAATGTCAACCTGTGGTATCTGGGAGTAAGTTCACTGCAAGAGAAGTATTCTCTTTTCATTCATGAAGCTTTTTTTCCTTGAGATATGAATAACTAAACCAAATATAAATTAAACCTAAAAACCATTTTTTTCTACTAATTTACTCAGTATCCAAGATTTCTAGAAAGACAAGTGATACTGCAGTTAGACTATGACTCTCACCACTAAACCAATGTTGTGATTGACAATTATGTATACATGTATTTTGATCTATGCACATTAATTTCCCTCATAATTCTTTGACGAACTCTTTTCACATAGTGCTTTAATTCTTATCATTCAGCTTTGCTTTACATTTTTTCTGTATTCATGTATAGAGATAGTTGTTATTTAAAATTTCCAACTTACTAAATATGTCAACATTTAAATTTTCCTTAGTAAGATCAAGATTTAAAAAAACAGCTTTCTGTAAATACACAAATAAAATTTTAAAAACTCATCTTAAAATCTGGTATATTTAGAATTTTGAAGCATACTTTAAAAGTTTATCAAGGGATTTTAACTGACATTTTGTCACTTTTATGCCTTGTTACTATTTTATGATATATCCATTCTATGGATACATACATACAGCAATCATTTCAAAAGACCACAGGTAGAAAGTTATTAAGTACTAACTCAAGAAATAACTGATAAAACATTCCTCTCTTTTTAAGAAGGGTTTTTATCAACATCTATGGTAATAATTTTCCTTCTCTCCCACCACAAAAATAGCTTGAACAAGAAAGTGAAAATATGCTGTGGCAGTAGAAGCAAAAGGCTTTCTGTAGATGGTGATTCAAATTCATTTTCTGAATTAGTGAAAGGAGCAGGAATCTCCCATTGTCCAGAGAAATCTCCTATGGAAGAAGATGGAAGTACAGAACTGCAGCATCTTCTCTATTATCAGTTTTGTGTCCATGTTTGATTGTTTTTCTTGTTCTTTCTCTGGTTGAATTTTTTAAACTGGTTGAATATTTTTGTTTCCTGGTATTCAAGAAGCTTCTTGTTGTTGATACTGTGCATCGATTGCAACACTTGCAAATAATAAATCAATTACAATGTTGTTGTTGCATATTAATTAGAATCCTTTGTAAATAAACTATTAGTTGAATGTTTGAGACAGTGAAATTTAATAGATCTCTGCTAATTATTACCTGAAGCACTAAAGGAAACCTTTTCAGATAAACATAATTTTAAAAAATGTTTTAAAATAAACATTCTTAACTATCATATCCCTATACTACCCCACATCCCCCAAAAATTAAAGAAATAGTGTCAAATTAGTTGGGGTAATAGAAAAGAAAGTACTGGAAATAAACAATTAGGAAATCTTTAAAGAAGGAATGTTAAATAAAACTTTCTAACTGGTCAAAACATTCTAGCAGAGAAAATAAAAATATACATGCTCCCTAGACCTGTCTTAGGAGTTAATCATCCAGATGAAGTCTTCAACAAATTTTATGATGCTGCCTATCAAAGGTGGTCGTGAAAAAGCTACAAATGGACACACTCCTTAAGTTCGATTAGTTCACATGAAATAATCTAAGACCAATGGCTATTTTTCCTTGAAAAAAGAAATGTGGCAAATAGCTCACATGCTTCAATGCTTTGAGGGTTTTTTGCTAACTGGTTTACCCGATACAAATAGTCCATCTGTTTCTATCACATTTACTTATTCAGACTTCAATGCTGCAGAAGTGGCATCATCATGTATTTTCCCCCTCATCTTTCTTGCCTTCTACAGACATGGTAGGTACACACAGCTGCAGTGTGTGCTCACCTGCTGCACACACTGTGAGGGTCCCTGCTCCTGCCCCTTTCCACAGCTTTCTCAGCCACATGAGAAATCTGGCTGGCATTGGACTGGAAGGCTCAAGAGAAGCTTAAGATGTCTTTTCCAGGGCTAGGTAAGAGCAAACAAAGGTGTATGAGCAGTGACATCTCTACCCAGCAATGCAGCACTTGCATTCCTCCTCTCCTGGGAACAATGAGGGAAAGAGCAGCAGCAAGAGGATTCCTGTGGGTTTTTGTAAACAGGGATTGTTTATTATTTATTTTTTGCTTTTTTTTACCTATTATATCACCATATCACCACACTGGATAAATAACTGATATAACATAACTAACATGGTTGTTACTATGGGTTTTAAACATACTCTTCCTTCATAAAGAAAGCCTTTACACTCACCCAAATATAGTTAAACAAGATAGGAGAAGAAACAGAAAGGATGGAATAATCATCAAGTGAATCTGATGACAGTGATGGTACTAACTATAGCAGGTGACACACTCAGAGAGAAGAATGAGGGGATAATAGGGATTAAACAAGAAATATTTGGGGCGAGAAGTAAACTTTTAATTTCTTAAGGTCTGTGGAAATGGAGGAGGAAAGTAAATGTTCACTGCCACTGAAGAGTACGAAAAGGAAAATAACATCCCTAGAACACAGTTTTCTTTCTTTCAAGATCCAAAATCACAGCAATAAGAATCTGCTGCTCACATAGGAGTGTCAGCAGGGAGAAGGACAGCAAATTGGAGCATTACAAATAACCATAAATCCCCCCTAAATTGCTGCTTTACTCTACATGAGATAATTAAAGGAAAAGCAGCTGCAGACTAGGTTACTAGAAAAAGCCAGGAACAGTGGTAAAAGGAACACCATGAGAAATTGTAATGTAAGGCTAATCTGGAATATTGTAGTCTCTATTAATCTAATTCATCTTGCCCTTTCAATTAAACCCTATCAAAATAACACTGGAGGGAAACTAATTGGAGTTACATGTAACATAAAAGAATAAAAAAAAAAAACAAAACCAGTAGGGACACCAGTCTACAGAATTTCACAAAAGAAATGGTGAAATTGTCTCAGGTTATATAGCAAAGTTCTTTTCTATTTTATTTTGTACTTATGTTCAACTACATATGTGGTAAAATGTACATGAAAACTGAAATTTTAAAGCAAATCCCAAGAACAGTAAAACAGCATCTCCAGGTGATGTTTTTTCTCCAGCTGTAAAACATCTGATGCAAAATATTTGGTTCAAATACTATCCATAAGTAATGATTTATGTATTTTTTGCTAGACTTTAACCTCAGAGACTGGTGAGAAGGAAACCAATAACACCTCATGAGGTTATCTCTGAACAACCTGCAGCAGAGACAGGACTCATTAATGTGACTGAACTCCTCATTTTTGCCTCTTAGTT